GGCAACCCGAAGACTGCCCAGATTCTGCTGGATGCAGATGCTGGGCAGTCTTCGCACTGCCATCGAGGGCAGCATGGTGAAGCAGTATCTGGCCGTACTTGTTCTTTGCACTGACGTCTGTGCCCGTGCTGGCGAAATCTGCAAGCACTTCGCGTGTCCGCTGTCTGCAGCGCAGTGTAGCGGAGTGTTTACTTTGGCCCCCTCGTCACGATGCCGCAACCGTGCAACAGCTCATCGACGAGGCCCTCGTCGATGAGCTGTTGCAAGGTTGCGGCATCGCCATCTTTCGCAGCTTGGAGCGAATCGCCCAAGGTGCCGCGCACGAGAGTGATGAGAAGTAGACGCAAAAGCTTGAGACCCATGGCTATATGCATTTAGCACCACTGCACGAGTTTTCTTCTGGCCTCTTCGAGCAGTAAATTGCCTGTAGCCTGTGGCCATTCAAAATTTGGGGGCTTTGCTCCTAACGGCTACACCTCAAGCTCCTTGAGAGGGAAGAAGACACGGCCTTTGCCTCAGGCGCGCGTTTCAATCAGGACGGGTGTAGCTGCTAGAATGCCGACCTGCAGTGGAATCCTAAAGCAACCCACTGGCAGAGCTGCATCGCACCTTGGATTTTGGGGCCTCAGCTCAGCCAACTTCTCACAGCACAGATGTCCGGAAAAAGAAGGCTTCTCCACGGGAAAGACGTATCAATTCATGAGTGCCCCAATGCTCGATCGACTAAGCCTAAGCCGTCACCCATACCCAGAAGCATAACGGTTGGATCCTCACACCAGCTGTCAACAAGACTGCGGAGTCAGGGGGTTGTTGCTATAGCTGACATGACAAACCCATACCCTGCCATCGGAAACCAAGAGGTCAGAAATTTCAAACAAGGTAGAACACGGCCCTCTGACCAACAGACGCAAGATCTTAGAGCAACCTCAACACATTGCATCAGGCAGGGCTTCAGAAGCTACGACTCAAGCACGGGACAAGGCCCAGCAGAGCAGCTGAGCCTTTGGCGCTTCGTGGTCTTCTCGACAGCACGTATGCAGGATTGGCACCTCATAAGGATCGCCGGAATGCTGTTAGGATCGGGTGTCCATGCGCCACAACAATCCAAACAAACAGAACAACCAAGAAAAGGGCGACAACAACCCTCGCCAGACGACAGACAGACAGACAGACATCGTGCGGCAAAGCGCGCGGTGATGCCAGAGCAACCTTGCTGTTAGAGAAGAGGCGGTGCAAAACTCAGAATGCTCGAGGCTTGTCCGCGGCCAAGTTTTCAACATTTAGTGTTCTCTCAATTGCACGTGGCCAGTAGCCCTGCAAGGGCCCTTCCAGAAATACGAAGCACTTTGCCTTTGTTCGTCGCAAGCATTTGCCAGCAGACGTCTTACAGCTGCTGCTACTTCTGCTAGTACCTGCTACTGCTGCCTGGTAATTGCTCGCTACGACGACGACGACGACGACTACTACTACTACGACGACGACGGCTATCGGCTATCGCTGCTCCTACTCCTGCTCCCACTCCTGCTCCTACTCCAACTCCTGCTCCTGTGCGAACTGCCTTCTCTACCAGCTTCCCCAATCGCCCGTACCACCTCACCATGAGATTCCAGCATATGCGCGATCAGGGGTTTCTTAGGGCCGGGCGCGGCTCACGATATCTGCAGAAGTCCACGTTGGCACCAGGCTTGGCAGAAGTGAGAGCTGACTGCGCTATCGACACGACACGACCTCCTGATACAGAATTTGTTTAGGGCTGCTTGGGCCTATCGTGTCTGTAAGTGTCCTCTTGCGCCCGGAATCGCTCGGCAGTTTCCCTCCGGGTACATCTTTTTTGCAAAGTCTTCTGCATCTGGAGATCCAGCGGCTCATGCAGACTCCAGTGGCCAAGACGACGGCCCCTAGCACATAGATCTTGGCAATGGCGAAAACTCCCTCAGATGTTACTGTCTGACCTGGCGACACAGCGCAGAGAAGCGAATCTGGTTTTGAAATCATCTTGAAATGCAGTTGCCGTGTGAATACAAGTACACGCATAATCGGCCCCGGCCATGTCGTGTTTACACCAGCATAAACTCCCCGATCAAACAGGCCACGAGCACCATTCTTGAAAGTTTCAGAAGCAAACGCCAGCGACCTGTAGAGAGCAGCAGGGGCAACAGCAACGGCATGAGCAGCAACGACAGCTGTGCCCAAAAATGTGCCCAAAGCAGCGAATGCCAGCGACAAGGCGGCCGAAGCCTCGTATGCCTCTCTGTCCTTCTTGGCTTTACCAGTTTTGGCCCACGGATCATACGCTACGCATTTCCCGAATGCCTTATACATCATGTATTGCCGCCGAAATGGCCACCTCCCTCGAGGCCACAAGAGGTGATTGATAGTGCACCACTAGAAGGTCATGAGGCTCAACCGGGATGCTTTGAGACCTTCTGCTCGGGCCCCAGGCGGATGATCCGTAAGAGCGCCTGGCTGCCATGCTTGGCAGTCTCGTTGCGCGTGCAGGGCTGTAATTAGTTAGCGAACCATTCGCTGAGGCATCATTCTTTGATCCTACCCTCCCCATTGCCGCAGACTACCAGAAGGGTTTAGGGCGAGACCAGCAAAGGGATCCCTTCACCGTGAACCTTGAGCTCGTTTGTCCGCGTATTCCTTGAAGGATGGGACGTGCTGGTGGAAGAAGTAGATCTGCGCAGCAAGCAGGGTTGCTTAGTGCGGGGTTCCTCCGACAGGATCATCGCTGATTCCGCCAGGCTCGGTTTTCGGGATGCATTGAGGAATGCATCCCGTACCTGATCCTTGCGGTCGCGGATAGCTGCGAGGAAGTCCTCAGCAGTGCATTGTTCACGGTGGACACACAAGCAGCCCACACAAAAACACAAGCACACACACACACACCCACCCACTCGCACAACAATCTTCCTCCTTTCGAAGGCGCAGAAGTTCGCAGTCCTCCAAACACCTCGATTACCGAAAGGGCTCAACAAGAACTCGGACTGATTACAAAAAATTAAGATTATGCAGTACAGCGACGGATGGTGCAAGGGTGTTCGGGAAAATATGCTTGTGTGTGTGTATATATAAATATAGACAGAGGGAGAAAGAGAGAAAGAGAGAGAGCGAGAGAGCGAGTGAGAGCGAGATAAGTAGATAGATAGGCAGATAGATAGATAGATAGATAGATAGATACAATATAGGCAAATGCATACACATATCTACATATATATATATATGTATACATATATTCCCCTTCCGCGAGCTTTGAGTCCGGTGGACGTGCTCCTAGCAAATGAATTCTGTGAAACAAAAGTGGCTCAGTGGGGAGGCCCCAGACCGCCCTGCCGCCAGGTATATCATATATATATATATACATATAATACACGTATATGCTAATATATGTATATATATATATATATATGCTTACAACCATGAAGAAAGAAAGAGATTATGGAATAGCGAGGCGATATGAAGCGATACTTGAGACGATGATAGCTATGTGAGACAGACAAAACGAATTCGAAATGGGAAAAATCAGAACACATGAGTGCAAACATACGTGACAAAGCTCGAGGTTTAAATCTACCGTTCCATTCCGCATGATACTGCTGTATGTTCTTGGCTCGATGTTTGCAGGTTCTGCTTATGCCTGCATGAACACACATGCGCCTAACTAAGCAGTAGTGGATGTCTCCATACACACAAGCTGAAACTCCTATTGCTGTTGGCAACTCTACGAGCAGGACGCCTAAAACCGTACAGGTTTACATCGCTAGTACGTACGTGTACAATGTAGACTCTGTCATGCTTCATGCACCCTATATTGGCCATATATGATACAAAATGAGCTGTTGGTAACTTGGCCCGGAATGGAAATGAACGTGGTTGCATATGGTACTGCATGAACGTGCATGGTAACACCTGTTCACTCTTGCCAAAAGATGTATACATTCGCTTATCACTACATCCAGTACATGTATCTTTTTTGGCACTCGCACTCGACCAGGGCTTAGAGTCAGGGTTTAGGGCATCTGGGGGCGCCGCACGACACTGGCCCTGCGCCTCGGCACTTGCAGGGAGAAGCGCCAGCGCTGGAAACAACACGCAAGCTGCCAAAAAGTTTCGCATGACGCAGGACACGAGATGCACGTCACAAGTAACCTTTTAGTAAGCCAACTTTGGTCATCACCTTACAGTGATGTGTTGACGGCTGTGGTACTGCCGAGGGTCGTCTAAACGAACAGCATGTCTTTCCCTCGTTTCCTACAAGAGGACATTGTGACGAGTCTTCCTCAACTGCGCATCGCTGAAAAGCTGGAGCAAGCAAGGGTACCGAATTTACATACGAGAAAAACGCCAGATCACGTGATGGCACACCCATGTTGAAGCATTCACGTCCCCAATAGACGAAGACGGGGTTGGCGTAAACTAGTGTACCCTTCAAACAAAGTCCCGATTGTCTGTGCTGTTTCTTCTGCTTCCATGCACATCAACCTACACATGGTTGCGTGTAGCTAGCGGTACTGGTGGCCCAAGATGATACGCATCATGCAAAAAACAATGCTGGCAACAGCCTAGCACCACGACAGCCTTATAGCACCCGTAGAGCGATCCTTTGAGTGCTCAGTACAGTGAACCTTATAGTACCCTTGCAGGCATCTTTGCCGCTGTCGTGCCCTAAACCCTAGATCCTAAACCCTATATAAAACCGTTCTTATAGGAACTATATAAGACGTTGCTCCGGGACCCGCGCGGCTCCGTGTTCTGCAGGGCCAGCTCCTCAGTTCAACCCAAGAAGGAGACAAACAATGAGGGCTACGATAGAAGTAACTTACGAGGATACTACAAGCGTACCATGATAAAGGGTACTATCAAGGTATCATTATAAGGGTACTATCAAGGTACCATTATAAGGGTACTATAAGGGTACCGTGATAAGGGTACTATAAAGTAAAGGTACTGTGCTACAAGGGTACTATAAGGGTACCACTGGAGAAGGGTAATGTAAAGGTACTATGTTGCAAGGGTGCTGTAAAGTTGATGGCAAGGATCACTACACATATCAGGGCACAGTAAAGGTTCCTCTACGTGTGCTTGTGAGGACAGCTCGGGCAACCGGAATGCTCGGGACGCTGGGCCGGGCTCTGAAAACAATTTGGGTTTCTGTCTTTGGGACTCTTCGGATTGTGCAGAACCCTAAACCCTTTAGCATCCAGGACTCTGTTCGCCAGCCGGGAAAGCCCTAAACCCTAAACCCCTAAACCCCTAACCCTAAAAGGAGCCTTGGGGCGAAGAGCAGCGGAAGTTCTGCCAGGACCCGGGCTCCGAAAAGGCTGCCATCGTGAAGAGATGTGAGCAGTGGCCCCAGGTGCGACTCCTCAAGGCCAACATGAAATCCTAAAGCTGGTAGCTAACACATCAAGGGCGGAGGGAGGGAGAGACACTCAAACATGAAACGCACATAAACACAACGATGTTGCTGTATGTGGATGCACGGGGGTATAATGCAGGGGTATAATTGGGATTTCAGCAGAAACAAGATGAAACAAGGATGCACCAAAAAAAAAGGCCTAGGCAGGGTGCAGAAACGTAAGCAGAAAGGTGCACAGACAAAGGCCTGCATGCAAACACCTACCTGGTGCGACTGCCAGCCAGCAATTTAAACGACAACAAAGTTGCTGCCAGGACAGAGGAGCACCGTGCCGTGGAATACGCCGGAGCAGCATATAAAGCCAAGACACACACCCTGTGCAAAGTGGAAGAACCTGAACCAAGATTACAACTTCGTTGGCTCCAAGAACACTATAATGATTCCAAAAGAAAGCAGCTTCATGTCCCAAGCCCTAAACCCCAAACCTGTCATTTTTAAGCAGGGGCTGCAGCGCACGTTGCCCTGATCCTTCAGCTGCCGCAACGTTTGCAACGGCTGATCTGGGGTTGCTCGAGGTTTGACTCCCAACCTGCATAAATCTAAAGCCCAAGAAGGGAGAGGGGCTCGCCTTGCTGAAAGTGCTGTAGCCCTCCGTCGTTCGGAAGGACTGTGCCTTGCGCAAGAGATGGCCCCAAGCTTCCGGCCCCTGCCCTGTCTCATTCTGATGCTCATTCTGATGCCGTACAATGTAACACAGCATCATACAGTCCCGTTAATGCTGAAGTGCAGTGAGTGTATGTACATATGTATGTATATATCTTCTTCTATGTATTTGTTTATTTGTAGCATCGCACCAACTTACCAAAAAGGCTTTTCCGCCGAGGCAAGCGTCTGAAACTCCCACGGATCGACTTAGAATAAGCCAAAAGCAATCTGAGCCCTACACTATGCGCGGAGGCTTGCCCTGCTTCGCCTCTTCCTTCCTGGCCACCTGATTTCGGGTTGTGGGAAAAAGGGGCGCGAGTGGGGAAGGGGGAGCTTTGTGCGCCTGCAAGTAAGGTCTTGTGACAATGTCACACCCGTTCTCCTGTCCTTTCGATTCTCTGCTGGTGGAAAATCGCCACGCTCGAAGTCCTACAAGTCCTGCTACCCTTTTCCCGGAATTCTTGAAAATTGCAATCTGCTCCCCGGGTCCCGAGCCAGGTCCCAGCGTTCCTTGCCGCTCCTCCGCAGCGAGAAATGGCTGCAAGGAGGCTCGGTCTTCCGGCAAGGCATCGAAGGCATGACAAAAGCACGACACTGCTTCTAGTCTAGTCTTGAACCTCTCGCAAGCACTTCTAAGCGACTACTGTAACATGCCTGAGGGTTGAGTCGGGTTGAGCTTGGGATTCTTCTCTTGCCGTCTTCCCCCTCATCTTTGCTGTTAGCTGCGCGGGGCGACTCCCCCCCCAACCCCGCGCGCAGATCCGGCCTGCGGAAGTCCGTGAGCGTGGGCATCTCGCCCTTCCGAATCCGCGGCGTCACCGGCTTCCTCTTGCCCTCGGCTTTGAGGCCGAGGCTGGGGCAGGATTCGGTCCAAGAAAGCCCGTCTAGGCAGCAACCCGGAGGTCTGAACTCGTGAATCATGGGCCTTCTGATGAGCTCAACGAGCCAAGATAGCTAAGCCGTACGCAAACGTCGTGTCCCAGGCGTGCACTGCTACCTGCGGCATCGCGCAGGGAAAGCCAACCAGGAAAGCAAAGACGACTTTGCTTGAGTTAGTTAAGACTCTACATATGTGAACGATGTATGTATGCATGTATGTATGTATAAATATGTATACATATATATATGCTACCCCCCCCCTCTAAGACCCCACGTTC